TGCTTTCATATAGTAGAATATTTTTGTAATCTCAATTATGCTGCATGGGCAGGAGTGTCTACTATCTTAGCCATAGATTTTGTAAGTGCTCTGAGCTTCTGCAGTAAATGACAGCTACTTAATTACTAGAACTAGGAAAGATAAGGCCAAATCATCTGGTCGCATCATCAGAATGTGTTTGATTGCATAAGCATTGGTCTTGCAAGTGACTTGCCTATCAGATAATTGATAATATTAGGAGTTCACAGAATAATATACTGAAATAGTTGCTCTTTTGTTGTCTGTTCCATGGCTAGTTTGGGATATCAACTGATCTTGTACTTTTCATTGGGTAGTTGTGGAATACACGAGCATGCTGAGAAAAGATTTTATTTATTGTTGTTTCTGCATTCCCTTTTACCAATTTAATATTTCAGAAAGAGTTGAAGAGAGGTGAATCAAAATTTTGGGAAGAATCATACCCTCAGGCATCAATGTGGAAGCCTTGTGCTGACAAGAAGAGTACCAAAGGTATAATTTAGATTCATTGAATGATGTCTATGCACAAATCAAATTGTAATTTGCTTCTTACAACAGTTATATCTCTGACAGTAGGTGGTTTGCTGTCTGAACTGTGGTGTAATTGTTTAAAGTTGTCGGGGCAGGGAAATCCAGGAACAGTTCTGGTTACATTGTGGTCAGTGCCAATGGAGGCCTAAATCAGCAGCGAGTTGCTGTAAGCATGCAGAATTTAGTCCTCCTCCTTTTTGGTACTTTTGGTTGTTGTAGGGTCAAGTTTCATCTTACTTCCTGTATCTTCTTCATGTTTTTCCTTTACTCTCTGATTCTATCTTTCTTACTAATTGCCACTGAATGCTTCGTTCCAATTTTTCAGGTCTGCAATGCTGTTGCAGTTGCATCCCTGCTAAATGCAACTTTAGTCATTCCCAAATTTCTTTATAGCAATGTATGGAATGATCCCAGGTCAGAAGTACATTTAACTGTGTGTTGAGTCAAGATTGGTTAAATATATTGCTCCTAGGTCTTTCTCCTTCCAATTTGGCCTCTTACTATGTTGATACATGCTTATTGAGAGGAGAATGATGACTTCTCCAGCATTAGAAGTCTCAAAACGAAATTTGTTTTCTGATTTGTTTCTAAATTATGCTTTTTCCCTTCATAACTGGTTCCTTTCTATCCCTTTCCATAAAAAGATGTTACAGATTTCTTTCCGGGAGAAAATTTTTGCATGCATTTACCTTTCAACAAAAGAAACATGTTCTTGCGTTACTTGAGGTATTATTGTTGATGCAGTCTTAGAAACTAGTCAATTTTTTTGACAACCAAAAGAAAAGATTAGAAATATAAATTTCTTTTCATCTGATTCCTTCACTTGGATTTACAATTTCAGCTTTTTAAGGTACTTCTTGGGTAATGGCATTATTTGATGGTTCAAGGTCATTTATGATATCAGCCTTTTTAAGTTTTCCTTGGCTAATGGCCTTATTTGATTATCGTGGTTATATAATTTGTATTACAGTTAATGATTCGAATCTGCAAATTGTATCCCAAAGACCAATCGTTGAATACATTTGAATAAATGTTGAAAATTTTTGGTTCATTCTAATGTCTATTTTCACCTCTTCATGTCATAAAAGATTTGTGCATTTTATTTGTTCTCCATAAATTCTGCCTCACTTGAGCAGCAGTGTTTTTCGTTTTCATACTTTAGTTGCAAATTACCAATCTCCCTTTCCAACAAAATCTCAAATCTTCTATCTTATTATGGAAGCAGTCAATTTGGTGACATATATCAAGAGGATTATTTCATAAATACACTGGAGAATGAAGTAGATATTGTAAAGGAGCTCCCTCATGACTTAAAGTCAGTAGATTTTGAATCAATTGGCAGTCAAGTATGTCACCTTCTCCTTGTCAATAACTGCAGATTGTGCCTTTTTCCTCATTGAGGTCAGCCACTTTACCTTTTCTATTAGGTAACTGATGCTGATCTGTCAAAGGAGGCAACGCCTGATGAGTACATTAAGAAGATACTTCCACTTCTCTTAGAAAACAGAGTTGTTCACTTCCTTGGATTTGGTAATCGACTTGGTTTTGACCCTTTGCCTGTTGAACTTCAGGTCAGGCACTTTCTTGGCGTTCTGTTCATTATTATTGATGTTAGGTCCCTAAATTGCATATTCCAGGATATGCCTGCTTTAAATTGTCAAAATTATCTGTAAGACTCAATTCTCTAACAATCAATGAAAAATTCAATACCTGTCCATCTCGAGCAAAAACAACATGATGGTAGCTTGTTATGACTATAAGCTTCCCTATATAGTGGAATTACTTGGACCTTTTAAGAGACTTTGCCTGACCATCTTATTGGACTTCATGAACATCTTAGAAGAGTAGATTTTACACTTTCTAATATGACTTTAGGATACTGGAAAGTTGTCATTTACATAATCTGCATGACATTTGTAAGCACAAGGTTTCTTAATAAACAGAGGAGTGGTCTTCACTTGCTCTCTTGCCACTGCTGCTTTCTAACCTGACAATCATAATCCCCATGGTTGCCCATCATTTTACTCCCCGTCCACTAACTCTGCTTCAAGCATATTAACAGGCTCGATTATTTATCCTGGATTCTGCTTCTAAGATGTTGATTCTTGTGTAAAACTCATCACGTCATTCCGGTGCATTTTTAATTTGAAAATGTTAACTGATCAATTTAGATAGAGCTTTATTGACTATTCATCTTGTTCACATGATCCTGGAAAGAAGTGTGCTGACAAATTGAATATTGGCTTTTCATTGAAAGTTTTAGCTGCTAGAAATCAGTAAGATGAGAGTCCAGAAGTGAAAATTTGTTTACTGATTCCATTGACTTCAATGGAAAATTTCTTGCAGAGACTAAGATGTAAATGCAACTTCCATGCTTTAAAGTTTGTGCCAAAGATTCAGCAGATGGGTTCGATATTGATAAAAAGGATCCAAAAGTACGACATTGCAAAAAGCATGCTGGATAAGCAACTTCTTGGAAATTTCATTTCAGATGCTTCACCAGGAAAGCATCACATCCTAGACGGAACTTCTAGGTACCTTGCCCTGCATTTGAGGTTTGAAGTTGACATGGTGGCCTACTCTATGTGTGAATTTGGAGGTGGAGAGAATGAAAGAAGAGAACTTCAAGCATACAGAGAAGCACATTTCCCTCTCCTCATTGAGCGCCTAACGACTTCTGAGTAGGTTCTTGCAATGGTCAAGGTTTTATTTATCCTCATTCATATCATGAAAACACAATAAAGTATCTTGATTTTGTATCTTTGCTTCTGATTCAGACATCCTTCTTCGGCAGAACTAAGAAACCTGGGAAGATGTCCATTGACACCAGAAGAAGCAGGACTTGTTCTTGCTGCTCTTGGCTTCAAGAGTGACACTTATATCTACCTTGCAGGCTCAGAAATTTATGGAGGAGAATCAAGGATGCATCCGTTTACCAGTCTCTACCGCAATGTGGTCACAAAGGAAGATCTTCTCTCAGCAAGTGAACTTGCACCGTTTAAGAACTTTTCTTCTCAGGTAAGTTGAGGACTCTAGTTATAACCACTTCGTCAATGGACATGCAGCGTTTCAATATTAACTAGAGATGTGTTGAGGAATATAAATCAGCATTTGTACCAAAAAAAAAAAAAGTTGCGTGTCATTTACAGTCCTTACGGCTTCAAGTTTTCACTCCTGCTACTGGATGTTGTTCATATAAATCAGCATTACATGTTTGCTACGCTATATCTTGATATCGACAATTGATTAGTAAAAGGGCTGAGAGCAAGCCATGCAAGAAAACTTATATAAAAATGCTCTTCATATAATTTAATTTGCAGTAAAAAAAAAAAAAAAAAATCAGCTCCAGTTGTTCTTATATATCCTGCTTATATACGCAGTGCAAACGTGAACTTGTAAACGTAGACACTCTGAAACCCAGTCCGGGAAGTTTTGCAGTTAATATATGAGCAGTAGATTCCAAATTAAGTGGCCCTAAGAGTAAGTTGCAGCACAAACAGTTTAATTTCAGATAGATGATTTTTTATGATTTGATGCAAGTAAATCTCTCCTTTTAGGAAGAAATTAGAAATGCTTATTCCATAGGACCGAAACAATTTCTTAACTAGAGATGCCACTTCATATTTGCTCACCTTACACTGATATAACTTTTATCATAGTGTCTAATCAAGTCACTTCTCAGATACTTCATTTGTAATAAAACTGACAACATTATTAATTCTTCAAATGCAGCTTGCAGCCCTGGACTTTATTGCATGTGCGACTGCTGATGTATTTGCCATAACAGACTCTGGGAGCCAATTATCATCCCTGGTGTATGGGTACCGAACATATTATGGCGGTGGGCATGCTCCAACTCTTAGTCCTCCCAAGAAGAGGCTTGCCGCAATTTTGTTGCACAATCACACCATAAAATGGAGTACTTTTGAGGAAAAAATTAGGAAGATGATTCAAGAAGGTCAAAGAGTCCGCCAAAGGGGCTTCCACCGCAGTGTTTATAGACTTCCACGCTGTAGAGGATGCATGTGCAAGCATCAATAATTCCTGTGTTTTCAGTGATCAAGTTTTAGGTTGCCTGTTCAAGCATCAAAAGTTTTTTTTATCATTTGTCATGTTTTACATTATCTTTTCCTTCTCCAATGAGTACATCCTGAAAAGTTCCCAGGTTTCTTCTGGTCCTATTTTTTACACAATGTCAACTGTATAAAATTTCTTACTTTTCAATGAGAATAATATGAGATACTTGCTATTTGACTCGCATCCCCAGTTTCACATACTATAGAATTGGTCTCATGTGCTTTATATTGTGTTATTGTATATGCCACGCAAAGCTATGCATGTCTCAACTTAATATTCTAATAAATGACCTTTCAGGAAAGCCTGCATTCGGTTTAGAAACTAATTGGTTGGGTATCAAGTTTCTGAAGAGCTGAAGAAAACTAGACTTCCGGTCTTCAGAATCTCAGGTGAGTTTTGGTAATGGTATATGTATATCAGGTAAGGCCATATATGCTTCATCTAACAAATGAACCCTAGAACATTGCCAACAATGTTATGTTACACGGTGGAGGAAACATACCAATTCGTTTCGTTGGATTAATCTTAAATAACCCAAATTGTATATATCAAATTAATGAAAAAATAGTGACAGTGGAGGCAAATCTGTCATTCTCTACTGACTCAAACTGTGTGGCCCTGGCTGCACCCTTTCTCATGAGGGTTCTCTATGTAAGCATAAATCTTTATCAGCAGATGAGAAGCCCTTCCAAGTGCCTTTGCATTCCTCATGCAATGCAATCATGATGGAGGGAAAAAGCGATTGAGGTTAAATGGAAGGGTGTAAAACTCTTCATTCCTGCTGTCCCCTTTAAACGTCCTGAACTTTACCCACCATGGCATTCCCCTATCCTTAGCACTGTCTTTGTAATCAAGTGTATTGTCCAGGAATACGGAAACAATCAAGGCAACGGTGGGAGAGGATAAGAAGATGGTATTAAGAAAATCATTGAACTGCAATCAAGATGCAAGAAACATATGTTAGTCAGGTAACGTGCGAGGTTTAAATTAGAACCAAGAAGAAAAGGACTCCTATCATTTATTATGTTTTATTCATTTATCTTGTCCTAATCTGCGTTCTCTAAAACAACCTCTGTCTTAGTCATTGGACAAGCGAAATGAATTTCTCTTTTCACAACAGTGACTTGAAATTTTTTAACTACTTGCTGAAACTTATTTTTAATTGGAGATAACTTAAGGCTGGTAAAATCCTTCCATGTGCCATGCACGACGCTATTGGTCATCTCACTTTCACCACATAAAATTTTGCTAAATCCTAAAGGAAATGGACTCAATTTCATCTGAATGGCAAGTTAGTTCATATTTTCGCTTTGCCTATGCATCTTTTGTGGTTTCTTTTCAAAGACTCTCTGATAAAATTTCACTGATACCTGAAGGGAATGGACTCAATTTCATCTGAATGGGAAGTTTGTTTTCAGATTCTGGCTTTGTTTCTCAGTACATGGAAAAAATAATTGCAAAATTTCACTGATATTAAATGTCTTCAATTTCTTTTGTGGTTCCCTTTTAAAGCCTTTCTGAGCATCAGAGAGTCCTTTTTAAAGTCATTGCAACTGAACTTTCAGCTTTTTCTCTTTTTCATTTTTCTGGTATGCATGTCCGAATGCATGGTTAAATGCAATGACTTACCCAACCAGCCTTTGTATGAGCAGGACCATGAAGAGCAGCCGTGGTATACTCCCTGAAGTACTCAGGAATAGACAAACCAAGGAAAAGGGAAACACCGGTGATAAAGAGGCTTCTCATTGAATTCATGTTTGTAAATTGCAAGAAGGACAACCCCACGGAAGCTGGAAATGTCAAAAGGGCCGTCAACAACTGAGGAGAAATTGACAAAAGGACAATATGGAGACAAAAGTATAGTATCTTACCAACAAGCCCAAACATAACACAGTATACAGCTGCAAATATGGTGAAAGGTATTGATGCAAATAGTGCTCCAAATTTTCCTGCACATGTTTTAGCAGATTAATGCACAAGCTTGTCAAAATGTAAGCCTACATGAAGAGCTTCAGCTATAATCACTTACCTAGAATTGAGAAAAATATCATAAAACCAGCTGATATTTGGATAACTCTACGGCTGCCAACACGAGTGCTTCCAAGAAGACCAACATTTTCTCTGTAATTGATGTCCACATTTCTCTAAGTTGAACAGCCAAGTTAAATGATTTAGAAATCTAGAGGGTAAATTGCTCAACAACTTACACAGAGACTGTAGACCCAGTAGCTGTCCCAAAGAGTCCATCCAACAAGATCCCAATTCCCTGTACATAACAAAGGTTCAGTCTCTCTCTGAGCGAATTCCATTTACTGATTTATGAGAAGTTGAGGATCTTATTATGTTGGCATAGGGCTTGATATCTACTACTCCTATAGACCAGATAGAACTTTTAGCACTGTTTTGCTAGTTCCTAGTTCATTTCATTATGGCAACTGGATCTTTCTTGTATTTGAAGTTTTCAGCACATTCTTGTTTCATAACAGTATCTGTCCCCTAAAGCAGGCCTTGTGTAAAAGAACACGAAAGTATATCCTATGAATATTACAACCTGCCAGCCAATACCACGGCTAAGAACATGAGCAGGAGGCGGTGTAGCACTTGCTAGGCGAGATGCCGCTTTGTAAGCTCCAGTTGACTGTCAAATTGAAAACCTTAGTTTTCCACATTGTCAAGTAGAATGAAACTAGTTTGGCTGATGTTCCACTGCATGTAGAAAGGTATTACAGGATACACGGACAACCTTTTACCTCAATCATAGAAACGAGTACAGCAGCCATCATTCCAAAGGCATGACCAGCATCAAATGTTGGTGCGCCCCATTGAAGTGGATATGGGATTTTAATCCTGCATTTGTAATTGGGAAAAATTATCTTTTGCAGCATCCAACATTAAAACAAGTAGCAGGATTTTTAAAAGTTAACTGATATTCGACCTACTAGAAATGTTAACATACGTCTTCATAGAACTGATATGTTTCCTCAGGATAGTGTTTGATATGCATGTACATATGCACAAGCTAAGCACTACACTGAAATTATGGTAACAGTAAAAATGAGTTTAGAGCATCTCAAGTTGACACTAACCAAGGCGCAGTCGAAATCAGGTTTGCTTTATCTGTGCGGCAGTTTCTTTGGGTTATTTCTGGACGATGTTTGTAGGCCCCACTGGCTGTGAGGAGATGTGCATAAGCCCAAATAACTGTGACTGAGATTATAAGAGCAAAACGCTCCAATACTGGCAGTTGTCTCGTCTGAAAATGTTTCAAGTACTGTGCAAAAAAAAAGAGCTGAGATTTCATTATATTCGGAAACAATGACTGGAGATTCTTGTGAATTAAAAGAAAATGTCAATGCAAAATCTATAAGTCCATATGCAGACAAATAAATGCATTGCTGACATTAATGAATAGTTACATGGTTTAACAACACTTGGAACAAGACAGGTTCAGTCCAATGCTAAAACATTATTCTTCCAATATTGAATCCTTGCAAGTGATTCTTGAGGGCTATAGTGCAACAAATGAGTTCTTCCCAAGTTAAGTACCATTCTCTGAGGCAGAAGGAGCTGAATACTGTTCTCCAAGACAGAATGATTCTTGAGGGTTATAGTGCAAAAGAAAGAGTTCTCCCAAATTAAATACCATCCCCAAGCAGGATTGACTCTCTTGCTCTTTCACTTCACTGAATAGCCTAGCTCTTGATGTCAAAGATCTCAACATGCCATACTACACTCAAGTAAAAACTTATGTTTCAGAACTACTCAGATTCAGTTCACTGCTAAAATCTTCTCATTCTGATTCAGTATACTTAAAGAGGTAAAATGTCTCAACATGCCATAATCTGTATATAGTCAGGTAAGAACTTAATGTTTTAGAACACGACAGATTCAGTTCACTAATAAAATCTTCTTATTCTGAGACCCTATCCTTAAACAGGTGATTCATGTATAGAAGGCAATGATTCTCTTCCAGCACAACAGAATCAGTTCAGCCTATAATGGAGACCAGCAAGAAAATATCCGAGCTTGAGCACAAATGCTTGATCTTGCACTCGTCCTTGCAGCCTAGCTCTTGATTTGAATGACCTCAGCATACTGTACTCAGGTTAAGATAAAACCTTAACTCATAAAACGTAAATTTTCTTGGATTGGTAGCAGAATAAATCAGCTGCAATGTTTGTCTCTCTGTACCTACTCCAAGAAACAAAATGATTCTGTTCATTACTAAATACTTTATCATGTCAGCAATTTCAATTTCCACAGATCACAGAGGAGGTCAATATTTGAAGACATGCGCAATGTCTTGTTTTCTAGTGCAATATAACCAGTTCTCCTTACATGGTATAAAAGAAACATGACAACAGCTGTTTGTGCATTTTCCTTTGCACTTCCAATTATAGCAAATTTTAAAATGCTAGCTGAATAATCTCAAGTACTTTAAGTTCGAAGATCACAAAAATGATTCGTTCTCTTGCGTTGTGCTAATGCGCACACCCTTTCCCTTGAGCATATTTCTTTGTTAGTTGTCCCACACAATGTTAAGGTCAATCTGCCTAAGAGTCTAAATTTGTCATTCATTCTTCCCCATACTTTTGCAAACCTTACTGCAATTGCCAAAACTAAATCCCTCTTCCTCTTGCTTCCAATTATAGCAAATTTTAAAATGCTTGCTGAATAATCTCAAGTACTTTAAGTTCGAAGATCACAAAAATGATTCGTTCTCTTGCGTTGTGCTAATGCGCACACCCTTTCCCTTGAGCATATTTCTTTGTTAGTTGTCCCACACAATGTTAAGGTCAATCTGCCTAAGAGTCTAAAGTTGTCATTCATTCTTCCCCATACTTTTGCAAACCTTACTGCAATTGCCAAAACTAAATCCCTCTTCCTCTTGCTTCCAGTGTATTTAGTTGTCTTTAACAACAAAAAATGTGATGCAGAGTAGTTCACACTACATAATTAGGAGTCTCGTTTGAGTGATCTATTAGAGGCAGTTAACAATGGTAGCTCCAGAGTCCTTTACAATCCAAGAAATAGAGTAAAGGTTACCTGAGAGAAGGCAACAAATAAGATGAGCATGGGAATTCCAATCTCCACACACCTGCCAACCTGATTCAAGTGCATGAAAGTTCATTTAAGCATCAGTTAAGAGACTTCAACGAAAGAATAACAAAGACATAATTAGACGGAAAATATAAATATGAATACAGCTCTACCACTGGGAAGCCTCTATCAAAAAGGCCAAAGCCCACCAATGATATTACCGGAACCATCCCAAGTGGGCTGAAAAACCTGAAATTAAAAAATTATGTGAGTTTCCCTTTCAGAAATGTGATAATAATGTCAACACTTGTACATTACATGAATTTTATATCGGTGTAGTATCAAGAAGAAATAACCTAAAAGAAGAAAGGCGGAATAAATGCTGTACCTAGAACATATAGCCCAGAGTTGACTATATCCCAAAATAATCTGCACACTTGAAGCTACAATCAGTGCACCCTGTATTGCTCTCATTGTATTGAGAAATCTCTACATGTGAAATCAAAGCCGTCATTGTTAATCTAAGAATAATCATCAGATATATGAAAACTTTATCATTGCTGTGTGCCTCTGATTTTCTGGATGATATCTTTAAAATAGAATATAAAATCACTTGGCATTCCACCTGCAAGTTCAAAATTTTCTTCAAGGTATATTCTTAGTTAGGTTTTACATGTACAGAAATGGATATAGCCTACTTGTCAAGCATATCTGTGATTCCTTTTTATACACCATCCTCCATTCTCCTTGCACGCTCATTCTTCCCACTATTTATAATGACGGAAAAAAAAAAAAGAAAGAGGTGCCACACTGCCGACTATCTTGACATTCATTATAATCTTTTAAGAGATAAAGTCCACCTACATCATTAGCCTGTTGTCATTTTCTCCATCAAATGAACCTAGTTTTTGCAGCCAATTTATGATATTTTTTTCTTCATTCAAATAAAAGTGAAGAGCCTCAGGTTAGAGAAATGGTGATAATATCTGATCAGAAATATATTCAGGAGTGTTTCTCTATGTTTCAAACTCTTCCATGAATTAACAGGAATGCAACAATAATCTATGTGAAGACAGTTTTTGCACACTACAAACTAAGTTTATATCAAGAAATTAATCAAGCCAAAGTTCTCAAGAGACATCTTGACTTACTGAATGAGGATCAGTTATTGCAGCCAAGGATGGATCATGAATTATGGAAATTATCGGTACCATAAACGCCCAAGATCCTCCAATAACAGTCGGCAATCGTGTCCCAAATAATGTTTGGAATAATGTGTTAATTCCTTGTGCAAAGAGTAGAGTCTGAACTACCCTAACCTTGTCACCCTGTCCGACCAAACATCCAAGAAAACATTAAGACAGCCAATTAACAGAACCAGTTAACACTAATCACTCCTCCTTTAGTTGAATTGCTAAGGCTACAACCACTTCTTTCTTTTTCTTCTTAACTTCTTGCAAATTCAAAAAATTGCTGAATAACAGAAAATTTATTGCTTCATTATTCGGTAAGTCAACACACTTAGAAATTCATTTCAACTTCACTGTCTTTCATTAGAATGAACGGCTATCCATCTCATCAACATCAAGAAACAAGCAGTAGATTTTGTGAGTAGTTTCTTACATCAGTTCCGCCCATTAAAGGAACAAGAAACGTTGGAATCATCACTGCTGTTCCTAATGCCAATATATAGTGTTGAAATCCCAGTGCTATTGCTTCCCCTGTTGTCACAAACAAATCGAAACACCCATACAACGAAACTTTATTAAGAAAACCATTAACTAAATATTTTTTATAATCATTATGTGTAGAAATGGGACATACCCCAAGAAGGATTAGAATCAATACAATACTCTAACCCTTGAAGTTGATCCATAGGAGGATGGCTTATCTCTTCAGGTTTTGGAGCTGCCATTACAACCAAAATCAAAAAACTTCACTTCACCAGCTTAAGAACTAGTAGTAAACACCTTTTCTTTTGCTCAAAATCGAAATGGGACCTTAGCAAAGGAATCAAGAGATAGATACAACTCAAGAAAACTTCGATAATAAGTAATTAAGGGTCTAGTTTCTTCTGTCCAATAGCCAAATGGGACTTGAGTAAAAGAATGAATGAGATAAAAAGCGAAAAGGCAAACAAAAAAAAAAAAAAAAAAGCTGAAAACTATTAAAGATAGTGAAACGAAAAAGCGGCAAAAAAAAAAGTTGATGAATGATGAAGTCAAGATGATGAATGTATCTGCTAATTTATACAGGTTGAAAATTGTGGAAAGAGGGAAAAGGAGGAAAGCAGTTGTAGCCCACTTCAAAGAATTGGATTGGTAGTTTTATTGTGGTAGTGTTGTAGTCTAGTGTGTGTGTTTTCTTTGTCTGCCTCACCTTCACTCTGTGTGGCCTTTTCCTGATTGCGAGTGTTCCGTTAACCTTTTTGTTGTTTTCCCAAGTTGCCCTCCAAGAAACTGCCAAATTCATGTTACCGTTAGTGAATCTGGTGGGAACTGTGTACTTAAACATTTATATTTATGTTTATATTTATATTTTTCTTTTCTTGGTGCTAATTGAATCTTTTTTTTTTTTAACTACTTTTATATTGAAACTTACTTTAATGAAATCTTGAGACTTGCAATGAGTATTATGGGGAGTAAAAAGTAGTTAATTAAATAAAAATAAAATTAAGTAGTATAAGAAAGAATGTTTATTCTTTCCCATTAAAATAAGAGGCTTGCACCTTTTTTTGCATCTTTTCCCCCCTTTTTCTTACCTTAAAAGTAGAGAAAGAAGAAAGAAATGGGATATATGCTTTCCTTTTTCTCCAAAAAGGCAATCGGTTTTTTATCTTATGCATTGGTGAATATTCTTCCAATGACCTCCATAACAACTATTGGTTCAATTTTTCACTAAATAGTCAACCCTTCATCTTGTTTTAGTTTTCCCTATCGTGAGAAAGTACAAATAGTTGAATCTAATTTCTCATGCAATGACTTCTATTGGTTTTGTTTCCATTTGGTGGTTTTTGTTTAATTTTGGGAGAGTGCATATTTGATCTATCAAATCCAATAATCAGCTAAAAAACTTGTGGGTCCAAGACCAAAGTCATGTCAGCATCTCCTGTTTCAATTACTGTCAACACTACAAAAACTTGCGAGCATGTTTGGCAGTTTCACGCAATGACACTACTCTTGTTTTTTTCTAAATCAAATGAATCCCCATCCAACAAACATATAAATAAACAGAAATTTAAAAAAAAAACTAAATACATTACTAAAATCAATATATAGAGTCCATCATCTTCCAAGAATCTATGAAACTTCCCTGGCTCCCAAATTATACAGCTCTACTCTTAGCCAACCTTCGATATGGACATTGAGGAGGAAAAGAACCACAGAAGGGTTGTTTTGAATGATAAAGTAAGAAGGGTTGTAAGTATTCAAATCTGTTGGGATTCAGGCGCGGAATAAACAACTATTGAGACATCAAGTGCACAACAATTTAATGAGAAACAAGCCACAAGCATGAAAGATAAATGACACACAATATTTAACGTGGTTCGCCTCCACCATTGAGCCTACATCCACGGAGAGAAACATGTTCTTTATTATGAGAGAAAACCCTATACAAGAATACAACTTGAACCCAAACCCAACCCTTGTATATCATCTCTCATCTCCCAAGAACCCTCTCTCACACCTCATGTATAAGGCTACATGATGCCTCTTGTGTCCCTTGTGCGTCACTCGTGTCTACTTGTGTGGTATGTCAACCCATCTATTTATAGGGAACATTACTGCCAAAAAACCAAATAACAATTGGAAACCAATACTATTTTCTAAACTAAATAGAATTTCTTGGCTACTACTTCAAGTAACTAAAACCAATTAGGAAACTAGTTACTTCCACACAAAATAAGAAATCTACCTAAAAGAAATTAAGCTAATTTCCTAACAAAATCTTCTCACTTAAAAAAAATAAGAAAAGAAGCAAATTCATTGCAACCTTTTCTTTTACATTTTGGTGTATTTTGGTATAAAATGTGCGTGTCCAACTCTCTACTGACTAGGCTTGAACATGTGATTTGGGAGAGCGGCGTACAAATCCATCTCCAACGTCTCTCTATTTTTTATGCCAAAAAAAGAAGACCGGCATCGATAAATGAGCTCTCCTATTTTGTAGCTTGAATAGTCACTTTTTATCTGAACAAAAAGCGAAATAACATGGCATTTATCACCCTGTACAATCCTGTGGCCAACCAACATTCATAGGAATAGGATAGAAGACAGCCAAAAGTCATATTGAAAACAAGATCTTGTGCAGCATATGCAAGTATCTTCTTCCTCTTTCAAAGAAAGCAAAAAAGTTTGTATTACATACATGTACTTTTCTTCTTTTGACACCAAAAATGAAAAAGGAAGATATATGCAACCCACCTGTGAGATGGTCAAGCATAAGATGTGGTTGGAGGATTCGAAGACAAATGGCTGAAGAATCAGACTCCAATTTAATTTGATTCTCCATCAAATGAAGTAGATTAAATAACGAAATAATTGCAAATTCAATCATGAGGATCAACGAAAGAATGAAGAAATGATTACAAATTCAATCATGATAATCTTATTAAGAAAATATCTAAAGTTTTAAATCAGCAAAAATATTAAGCAGGTGAATGAAATGACTAATTCGACTCTTAAACCATCTCCTTTTTCCTTGCAAGGTTTTAAGCCTCTCTTGAACTTAAAAATAAAGATAAACAAAAAAAAAGAAAGATGAATTGACCTGTAATATAAAGCATGTTCCTGTTGACTACCCGAAAATTACTCCACGAAATGGGATTAATAATTTAATATGAATATGATGTGGAGTTCTAGCTAAGGATAACCTTGACCTAGCAAAAAAGTTTGGGTAGATCCTGTGTTAGCAGGCAAGGAGGGAGGAACCTTTCTTTCTACCACCTCGTTGTACTAACTAACGTGGCTGGGGCCAAGTTTCATGGGTCAGTGCTGTTTGCCATTTACTTTTCATGCAAAGCTTTTCCTTTCGGCTGATGTAAATCTTGCCGTCGTCGAGTACGTGCGCACCAAATGATGGTTTTGACTGACTGGAAGGTATCCCAGTTGCCAACAAACAGAAAGGCAAAAAGAATAAAACAATACTGTAACCCTTTTTTCTTCACTGTGATTTATGAAAGGGAACATCTTTGGCAGCATTAACATGGCAACCTTAATAGGGGGAGCAAGCAAAGAACTGAAAAACAGAAAAACCAACAAAATAGGGAAAAAGTAGGCATGATAGAGCAACCAGGATTTCTATAATACAGCAGCTTCCATCAAAATTTAGTTACACTCAATTTGCTGCAAGAACGGAGCAAGCTTTGCAGACAACCGTTCCCATCAAAATTTCCGATTTAGCAAGGCTGACATGAAAACCGGCTCTCCCTATATTCATTCATATACAAATTGGTAAGATCTAGAAACAAATACAGCCTAGAAATGTGGTGGAGCCACATTCTATCTTCATCTTGATGGATCTCACAGGCTGATAGCTTCCTTGTCAACTGTGCAAGCTGAACTAATCAAGTCCTTCTATCTGATTTCTTGTCACTAGATCTGTCAGATTTCTTATCACTTGAACGTTTATCTTCTGCCTCCCGTCGTCTTTGTTGGCTGCAATCAGTGGAGTAAGGAACTTTCAGGGGACAGGTGAAATACCACAATAGAAGTCTTATTCAAGACATAAAAGAAAGGCCAACAAATATTCATTCAAGTTTTACAGCATGAAAAAGAGTTGAATCTCTAAGAAGAGCATATAGGAAATAAACATGACCTGCCTCCCATACATGTCTCTAGCTATGCTGTAATCCACATAACATATTGCAGCACTTTATGTTCTCTCAATTCACAATTTGTCCTGTCTACACTTCATGTTCTAAAATTTTCAGGTAGCAGCACCAAAGAAAGATGCTTCTCCAATACCACTATTTGATCTGAGACTCGCACAGCATATCTATTAACATGAATATTACTTAAAGCCCAACGATTTGCCAATACCAAACTTGATCACTTTATCTTGCCCGCTCTACAATTAGATCCATTGTAACAGAACTTCGATAGATAACAGATGTTAATATTTTCATACACACAATTTTCACATATCTAAATCCAATTTAAACATTCAGTCAACATCACATAACCCACCCTACCACCATTCCAAACCCAAACCCCCCCCCCCTTCCCCCCCAAAAAAGGGAAAAAAGAAGAAAACAAACAAAGATAGGTATAAAAAGAAGAAACTGTACTACGATTAATTTAGAAGTTACTAACATAGTCCTGAATGCAAGGTTATGATTGATCTATGCAACTCAATGACCATTAATCAATAGAAAAAGCTGGAAAAGATCCAAAAAAGGAACCCAAAATGGGTCTTACACAGCATCCTCTTCTTTTCTAAGTACTTCACCTGCTAAGATGAGATGTATTCCATTCACAATTTCCGAAGTGTAGTTAGAACAAAACAAAAGCTAATCTACTAATTAAAATTAGGAGATGTCTGAAATGAGGTATGTAAGAATATATAACCCGGAAGGGGGCGGGGCAGGGGAGGGGGGGGGAGGGATGGGTTGGGTGGTGCGGGAGGAGGGAGTGTAAGTGAGAGGTCCCGGGTTCAAGACCTCCCACTTACACTTTCAAAAAAAAATATATATATATATATATATAACAAGAACTAAGTAATACAGTCAGATCATGTGATCATTATTAAATTATATCTACACATTAGACCTGTTTAGAAAAAGCAAGAGCATAATCTTACAACCCTAAATAAATATTTCAATAGTAACCATAGAGCATCAAGGCACTGCTAGGTCAACCATAGAATACTCAAGACCATCAGACAAGGAAAGTTGGAAGAGGTAATGGATGTGCAGGACTGCAAACAAAAAATAATAGAGTTAAGACGGAGACGAGTGAAAATGAGATTTGAATATGCATAAAGAACTTACGCGTAGGCAGAATATCCAGTACCAGCATTAGCAGCGGACAGAAAACTAGCATGTGTTGCAACAGCAGACACAGCATCCTGCCCAACAGTCGGCACAAGATTAAATCTATCACCATCCACCTGAAATCAAGTAAGCTAACTGATTAATTGAAGGGTAATTCACATCTTTACTAGAAATCTTTTATATTACTACATAAGTAGATGGAAACCTTATCCCACTTGGATTTCTTGTTCTGTCGGCCATCCCGAGCTAAAGTGTCCACCGCAGCAGTTACTGTATTCAATCCAGTTCCAGGTGCAACTATCAAATATAGAAAAATAATTAGAAATGGTTTCCAAGAATATCCATATCTATAGACAAGACAACACAATTTTCAATGACCAAAAACTCGAGCAACCAGATGTCAAGGTGGTTTTGGGACCTGGAATTGGCAAATTGATTTTGGGAGTTGGAACTGCTCCTGGTTGTGTGCCTGCAGACAAAAAATCTATTTTTGGGCTTCTCTTTCTTTCTTGCTCCTTCCTCTCCATTTCTCGCCTCATATCAAGCTCTGCACATGGACAAACTATTGGTGAAACCAGCATACTAGGACAATAAAAGCTAATGAATGAAAGTGAATACTAGAAGCTGTATATTCTGTTTCTGAGGCTGAACCATGATAGGAGGAATGAAAGCTAATGAACCAAAGTGAAGGAATAACAGTCTGCTTGAAAGGCGGTAAAAAAAAATCATGAGGGCTAATTTCAGATTCCTGCAAATTGAATTACTTTAAGGTTCAGAACAGTGTGAAAAGAGAAAAGGAACTGGCAAAGAGATGAAAAACACAGATACATGTCCCCAATTCTGTTCTGCGAACCATGCCAGAAAAAACCAAGCTTAAACCAATAGGATGACACAATTTTTATTCCCACCCTGAAGTTGATGCCAGAATTCCAACCCCCTTCCATATATGCTATAGATTAAAATACTGGTAAAGAACGCATATTAGACTATTAAACAGTTTGAGACTACATCAGATTAGGCACAAAGAGTAGAAGCTTCGTAAGCCAATAAACTGCTTACAAGACCACAAAATTCACTAACTGTGGATAACTTTTGACAAATCTAGTACCACTTTGACCAGGATATTTTCTGATTTTCTGTACTTGTAATTAAATAAAATCTCCTAAGGACACAATAAAAATTCGCATAGATAATTGTTTTAATTTCATGAATACAATCACAAGTAGATTAGCACCATTGTCAGTTCTAGTTTACTAGCATATGTAAGTTACATTGGTACCAAGGGAGCAGAAGGTGGAAAAAAGGATCCTCATATCTTTTGGGATATCATCATAAGCCACTATTTGATAAGAAGCAGATAAGGAGAGGTATTCTTATCTTAAAGTCCATCACATTTTACTCCACACACAAGGAAGCCTTAAAAAGGGCATTTTCATCTTTTAATACCATGCTTCTCTACTCTCAGAAAGACAATATTACACAACTGTATGTAGAGCCCAAATGAGTAGAACCCTCGTCTTTTTTATCACAGCCTTTCTATCATACAGGAAGTTTAGTGTCCCACTTTCTCATCCCATAAGACCATTCCTTTTGCATCTCTCTGTATTCTACACTCCCAAACCACAAGGCTGTTCATTCCTAAATTTATTGACGCAGAAATTTGTAAGTTCTCAAAAATCCACATCATGACCATCCATAGAAAACCAAAGACAGCCTAAACATACTAATTGCTGTTTGCTAAAAAAATGAAAAAAAAAAAAAAAGGCCTAATATCAAAGCAGTTTACTAATTCCAATTGTTTGTAAGCAAAACCTTCCTTAAAATATCGTGCATTGTCGAGAAATAATCACATCTGATAGTTTTAGCATGATGTCACAGCAATTACATTTGATGATGCAGGTCATTGGAAAAAGGGACAAATCAAAAAGTAAAGATTTAATGAGTACTACGTGATAGTTTTAGCATGAAGTCACAGCAATTACACTTGATGATGCAGGTCATTGGCAAAAGGGACAAATCAAAAAGTAAAGATTTAATGAGTGCTACAGTTACCTATTTCATCATAAAAGTCACTTTGATTATATCCATGGGGATCAAAGACATCCTTGCTAAAACAAGATCCAATCTCATCAATGTCAAGATATATCATGGCATGCCGTAAGAAGTCAGGGTTCCGATATTCTTTTCTGTTGCGCACTTCTGCATTATAGCTTTTAATCTTCTTCAATCGAAGAAATTTACTTATCTTCTCCTGCAGGAGAAAAGAAAGGATGGACATGAAGACAAGGATATACACACTACACTTAAGGATGTTAATTTGGCAAACTTACTATGTATTAAAGGGAACAATAAATGTAGTCTTCCATTTAAAATCACATAAAAACTTGAATCAATTAACGTGACCAAACTTACTTGCAGTTCATCTGAGCACTTAGCCTCCGGTGGCGGTGGTAAAAAATTATTTAATAGATCAATATCTTCCGCCTCCTTTGAAGGAACCACATCTGCATCCGCAGCCTCGGCTGATTCTGATCCAACTACAGCAGGGTTGCTCGTAGCCATCTCTGCCTGATCATTTGGATCAGATACTTGGGGAGGAGTCGCTCGGTCACCAGGTGTCAACACCTGGACTGTCTTCACTTGAAAGTTACCTGAATAAGTAAAAAAATGGATCAGGAAAACTAACAAGCTATGAAACCTTAAGCTTTGCTTTGACACTTCAATATGCTTCTTCTCATATGTAAATGGACATTCACAAAAGTAGTTAAAAAACGAAAACGAAAAAAAAGCATGGTTGCATAAAAAATTTACTTTGCACTACAAAACAGACCATTCAACCAAAACAGGTTTCAATCCACTTTTCAAGACTATATTTTAATCAAATTGATCGATATATTTCTAACTGTAAGGAGTATACCCACGCAATTCGAAAAATATAAGGTGTAAAGAAAAAGAAAAAAAAAAGGAAAATAGAAAAGGATAAATTATCCGTAGTACTCAAAAGCTGTTGAAAGAGGCACGGTGTTTCTTTTCTCCTGGTATGAGTCATATTTTATATCCAATGTTCCAGTTACATTCCCGAAGGATAATGCTTGTCCATTTAAAAATCAACAAATAAAAGAAAAATAATTTACAGTCCAGCACAATAAACTGCTATATGAAAGTTTAGAGGCATATAACAGAGAATACCACAGTCCATGAAGTAAACAGCACACAACAACAGCTGCTATCAACTCTCCAGCGACTGATTATGCTAAAAATAAATTTTGTCCCAATCAACCCGCAGACTTAAATTAGTACAAGCACATGGGTCAGTAAGAAAATTGCAAGGAAAATCACAACTCTAACTTGGATCTTGTACACCCAACTACAATAGAACTACATTCCATATCCTTGTTAGCCTAAGGCTTGGACAGAGGGAACATTCGCAGAAAAAGCAGCTGAATGTTATGGATGCTTTGAAGGAAACTGTAAGACCAAGAATGGGCTGAATAATGAATTCTGAAATTTCCAGTACACAAGTCTAAGAATGCTTGGAACACTAAGAAGATGCAAAACAAAGGTGAAATTGGTGAATGAAGCTTGAGGGGAATATATAAAGGCATAACCCTAGAGAAGGGCGGGGAAACTCAAAGTTTTTAAAATTTAAAATTGAAATGAAAAATCAAAACGGCGGTTACTTTGGCACAATTGCTTATCTGGAAACTCACAAGGAAAGCCTAGAGAAGCGAGAAGGAAAGCTACAGTTGCAAATGTCATTATGACAAGACATTACAAGTTCAGTATGGGATAAAGAAGCCATTAAGGAAAAGGTAAAAATAAATAAATAAATAAAGGCTGTGAACTATGAGAATTTGCAAAAGCTTGGGAACTTCAGCAAAGGCCGAATACAAATCTTAGAAAGAGTTGTTGCAAAGCTCCGGAAGAACAATACGGGAAGCCCATCTGCTGATTTTGGTAAATCACGTGTTCAGGAAAATTACCATATTTATGGGACTATTCAGAAGCGGGACAACTGAGATGCACTGCTTAATAGCAGTGCCAGCCAGGCAAGTGCAAGGTTATGCTGGCCACATTCAACTTATTATTAGTGTCCTATCTTGTCTATGAATAACCACGGTACCCCACATTTATGGTATCAGAATATTCCCTCATTACTAATCCGGTATACATTTTTCTTTCCCCATCATTATCACTACCTCACAGCGTCGAACTCCGGTTAAGGTCAGTTCATTTCTTACGCAGGATCCCCAACAACCACCTTTTTACACAACCCCCGCATGTTCGACCCAACCTTATGTACTAGAATGGATATAGAACAGTCACAGGACTAAGAACAACAGTAGATAAACACGTACAACATTTAAATATCTTTAGTGTATCAGTTACATTAAGTAAATCGGGTACATTTTCAACATTATACCAGTCAACAACAGGTCAAACTAAATAAAGAAACCTAGTACTTGTCTCCTGGTGACATAACAATATAACTATAATATAAAAGAAAAAAAATAATGACATTTTTTCGACTTAACTTACGTTTTGAATATTGCACATCAACAACAGGTCACACTGAATGAGAAAACCAAGTAAATGGTCCCATGGTATGATCTAACAGGATATCTAAAAAGCCTCGGAGTAATTGATTAAGCACATCTTTTTAACTAGCAACTGGATAGTTTCCACAAGCACTAAATTAACCCATTAGATACTTTAAATCCCTCTACCTAACAATAATCTCAGACAGCATGACACCTACAACAGCATAAACAACACAATAATCAAATGACAACTGCAAATTGAATTGATCAAACGGCAAACCAAAATTCATACCATTAACCATTGCGGCACCCTCCACTTCCATCGAATTTCGACCCACCATTATCTCCCCTTCCTACAACTCAAACAAATAAAAGTAACAACGACCAATCAGAAAAACCGAACAGACAAACAACACCAAACAAGAAAAGATAAAACAACGTAGACACATACATTCTTGTGCCTTTACATACTGATCAATACCTCTGGCTCAGGAGACATCGCGGCCTCATCATGCCCGTAATCCACAATCGTTATCCTCTCCTTCCTTCGCCGCCCAGGTGAAGAAGCTGAACCCTGCGGCGTGGCGGATGCTGACCCTCCTAAACCCCCAAATACCCCCCTGCCAGGGGTAACATTATCTTCTCCTACTCGCTGTTGCTGCTCATGCCGCTCTTCTTCTTCTACTACTAAATCCGAAGCTACAATTGTAGTACTAGTACTCTCTCGTATGACAATGGTGCTGTGGTTTTCTGTTACGGAAAACTCTTCTTCTCGTTCTTGTTCCACTTGAAGTATCTGAAATGGTTGTTGTTCAGCTTCTTCTTCGGTTTTGGCTTCGATTTCTGCTTCGGCTTCAGCTTCTTCCATTTCCTCGTCATCTTCGTCGCCGTATATGGAGAGTAAAGCAATGGATTCTTTCTTCTGATGCGAAGCCATGGCCGAAATTTATCAGAGCTGAAATCGAAATTGAAGGAGAAGAAAATTAGGGATTTGATTGAATTATCCGAGATAGAATTGCCCCAAAAGAAAAAATTTCAAAATTTTTTGGAAAATTTCCAGTGAAAAGCGAGGGTTTTGTATGATTGATTAATTGATTGAGGAGAGGGAAAATAAGATAAAAGGTAGAAAAGTGACAAAAAGATGATGAAGCGGGTTGTACAAAAGTTTGGTCGGGTTGGATCCAAAATAAAGAGGGCCGAGTAGCGTATGATTGCAGTACTCCATAACAAATTTTTGGGTTGGATTCTGTCCAAAATAGAGAGGTCCGTGTACGTCTAATTGTTGTACATACTTCTGCTCAGGATTTACTTTTCTCAATTGGGCTTGCTGAATAGCCCATTTAAGATTTGAAATTTTGTCGACCATTCTTGGGCACCAAACAAGACATAAACAGTAACTAGATTTTTGGACATAAACAGTAACTAGATTTTATATGGCTTTCTATTAGGCCTACTATGGAACAATGGAACCCCTCCTCCGCTACTTTTACTAACCAGGGGAAAAAAAGGCCTACTAAAAGATAGGATAAGAGTCAAATTGATCACAAGGAATTGATGATTTTAAAATTTGTGAATGTGTCAACAAAATAAGGATATATATATATACGTCAAATTTTTAATATATAGGTAATAAAAACTTCTGGTGTAGACAAGTGGATGATTCCATATGGGTATGAATTTATATACAATGTAATGAGTTTGAAAAAAAAATGAAGAAAAATCGTTCAAAACGTCTTTCATATCTTACTAAATGAATTTTTTCTTTCGTCACTTTTAAAATAGTAACTTTACATCTTTCACAAAATCAAATCGATAAAATTTGATTCCAACCTAAATTTTTGAACACTTTTTGTCCTGAATTTATTATGTGAGCCACATGCAATTATTATTTATGTACGAAAATGTCAAATCCCACTTTTTTAATTACAAAAATGAATATGGATTGGTCAGATCCCACTTTAAGGAAAAAATAAATATGATTAGGGTCAGATATCATTCGTTTTATTACAAATGGAACTTAACCTTTTTGTTCTAAAATTACATAAGTTATCTCAAATAATATTTTACTTGCACCATAAACACATTTTCTAATTCACATTTTTTTCTAATTCATATTTTTATCTCACATACAATACATCACAAAAAGTACAATAATTATTTCAAATAATACTCTCTATCCAAATTCATCCCGTTAAGCATTCAAATTGGCAAATCAGCGACCTCTCAATCACCAAGAAAACATATGAAATCAACCCAAAACTTGTACTTGCTACTGCTACAGAAACTCAACACGCTTCAATCAAGAAATTGCAATGTAGATTCAATTTGGACTCAACAAAAAGACTCCCATACGGCACGCATTTGATCTTTCCATGATCTTCTTCTTTTTATCGTCTTCTACACATCCGTCATGAGTTCACAATTTCACTAGACTTTGCTAATTTCTTCAATTTGTACTTTAGCTTTTGATAGCGGCCCACCCCACGCATCTTCTTCTATCAACTCCACATTCAAGTTTGTTGAATTTTCTTTGCGTGGACCAAAAGTGCTTTGGGTTGAATTGAAGAACATGGGATCTTTACCACTTGGATCGATAGCGACGCATTTGTCTACTTATCACTTTTTCTTTACTTATTCTATGTATCTTCCTTATGATGGATCCTTGAGTGACTTTTTTCTGTCTCTCTCTCTTTTTTTTTTTTCTGTGTGTTCTCTTATTTTCCAAGAGTTGCATTTGAATAGAATGGGATACAAATACTGCTACCCCTTTGGCTTTCACTTATTGACAACCAATTAGGTGAGAGTACGTAAAGATTCTAAGGTTGTGTTTGGATTGCATTTTCCATGATTTTTCATGAAAAAATTACTGTAGCGATTTGATGTATGTGAGGGAAAAAGGTAATAGGGAAATGTGATCACGGAAAACGACGTAATTTTCCGACAGAAAATCGCAATCCAAACAAGGCATAATATTTTTATGCCGACCATGACTTCAGAATAGGTAATTGTCAAGCTCAATGAGATTGTTTTAATAAAATGTTAATTATTGATAACGTTATTGGTATATGGTATGCTAAACATATGCTTTTAGTAAATCGAGACGACATCTTTTACATCGTGTCATCCATCTAATCGCAAAGATATATATGAGATTAATTCTTTGTTTCTTGTGTTCTTTAAAATGTCTCAAAACTCTGAAGTATGACATGATCCTCGGATGCTTGAAAGAGTATCAAAGCATCGCTTTCACCATTGCTGTACTTTATTCTACACTGGCTATCTTTAGAAGTTTTAGATGTATGAAATCAAAAAAGAACAGAAAGGAAGAAGACACTTAAAAAGTGAGTCTCTGATGCTGCAAAAGAGGCTTCATACATCCGATTTTGCTTTTCCCTCTTTCTTCTTGATTTGATCAGAAGAAAAAGCGGTGACCGCCCCAGAATCAGTATTGGAGGATGCAGGTGGATAATGTTGGTATGTGAATGGCCACTAATCTTATTAATTAGCAACCGAAAACAGCCACAAAACCCTGTGGCGGAAGTAAGAGGGCGCTGAAGGAATCGTTGGAAGGAGAAGAGGGGAAGCAGCCACAGAGGAATCATTAGCGATTAGAAGTGTGCTGGAAATGGCTCAAGTTGTAGGATGGACAAATATAGAAGTCCAATCTGATTGCAAAAATGTAGTGAGCTTTATTAATACTAGTAATGTTCAAGATTGTAGGTTACAAACAATTCTAGAAGACATTGAAGCCTGAAGAATAGCTTTGACAGTTGCCTATTCTCTTTTGTTCCCAGATCTGCGAATGGTTGTAGTCATGCAATGGCTCAATTTGCAGTCAAGTCGGTTAGAAACATTGAATGGGAAAACTCATTCCCAACATGGCCATCAGATTAAGCTAGAAAAGATATGGGGTAGTTTACCCCTTTTTGTAATTAGCTCTTGTATTATCAAGTGTTAATATCTATAAAATGTTATCGTTTGTTAAAAAAAAAAAAAAAAAAAAAAAGGAAGTAAGAGGGCTCTGACATTTTGGCACGACAGCCGCCTCAGGATCATTTTGTCGTCTTTGGTACTTTAATTACAGAACTTTTTGATTTCGGAGTCCTAATTACATAACTTTTTCCCCCTAGAATTTTGGCGAGAATATGTTTTCATTAAAGATCGTAGTATGTTCGAATCCAATAATGATATAAGAACTGTATTAGTGACTAATCTATAAGAGCATCCCTATTTTAGGACATGTCTTAATTTGCAATCGCGATGGTGACTAGAGCTAAACCCAGCCAAAGTTTTGTTTGCTTGAAAAAAAAATTTTTTTTTTAAAAGAAAGAGAAGCTTGTTAAGTTAAAATCAAAGATTTTATTTTTTTTAAATAATAAATACAAATATGAGAATTTTTAAAATCAAGGAATTAAGCTATCATTTAATTTGTGTCCATGTACGAGTCATATGTGATTTGGAGTAGAATATTTCTTTTCTTTCTAACGGGCCAGATGAGCTCCTCGAGTCATGAATTCATGCATAATCTAAGACAAGTGAGAATCATCCAATCAACAAATAATAGAGGGAAAGGTTTGTCAAAATTCCTAACTTGCCAAATATAACCCATCTTTTCTATATGTTGACACCGCTCATTTTTTTGCCTCTCAATTAAAGAAAATTCCTCAAACGCCACCTCTTTTTCCTCCTTGGGCAAAAGGGGGGAAAGAATCCCATTTGATTGAAGATTATTTGTAAACAACTTTGCAATATTTGTGTGACATAAAAAGTAATTATAGAAATAAAAAATAATTGAAAAACATATTTACAGAATAATAATATGAAAAGATTTTGCCAATTGTAAGGGCTGTACAACCCAGCAAGATAAACTGTGCTACACGGGTTTGAACACTAGACCATTTGCTGAGTTGTGGCCTACAAAATTGACTATGAGCAGACAATACGTTCATGTAATTCTGGACGACGATTTTTAGTGGAATCCAGCAGCCAAACTGGAAGCACATGACATTAATGCATTCTGGCAAATTGCTCTAGATTTTTGGTACCAAATTGACTGAACCACTAAAAAATGTCCCCAAATCCAACCAGTTGATAAAGATTCGTGTCCCCCTTCATTGCCTTAAAAGAAAGGGATGAGAATATTTATAAATTGAAAGCAATAAAGCAGTAAACTGAGAAAAGAAAAAAGAGCAAACAAACAAGAAAAATTAAAGAAAGAAAAGAAAAGGAGCAGATGATGTCTTATGCCACTTAGAACAGACAAATAGTAAGTGGGATTCTCTGCCTTCTCTGATCCAAACCTTATGGCCACCCACCAACATCAGCCCTTCTTCCCTTACCTTGCCCACCTTATTTTGTCCACCCTAACCTTTTTTTTTTTTTTTTTTTGCCTTTGAATTTTTGTCTGTACATTAAAATCCTAGAAAATTTCAAAGGAACAAAAAAAAAAAAAAAAAGTTCCCTAAGGCACGTGAGTTTCACGTGATTAAATCACCAGTCACAAATTAGACCAGTTGGTATTGACCCCAATACCCGTGATCGAGTTAGTTGAGTCAGGTTAACTCGGTAGCGGTGGATGTATGTCCTTGAGCAAACCTAACACTTGCTGCATTCCAGGTCTTTTGCCGGGCGTCTCAGCCGTACATAAATAACCGATTCGGAGGCATTCCACCATCTCACTCACTGAGTCACTGCCCAATTTCAGCCGCTGGTCAAGTGCATTGTCTCCTCGGCCTTCCCTCACCAGTCTTCTCACTGAATTTACCATCTCGGTCGAACCGGATTGACCAGTCAATAACTCGATCAATATCAAACCGAAATTATATACGTCCTCCCCGGTTGAACCGCTACCTCGGTTTTCACTCAACCCAAAATCAGCTATCCTGGGTTCAAAATTATCTGACAACAGGATATTCGAAGGCACCAAATGACCATGCACAATCGGCTTCGATTGGGCGTGGTGAAGATAGGCTAATCCACGAGCTATACCAACCGCAATGCGGTGGCGCGTGTGCCATACCAATTTTTCCGGCGACGTGATTTGCGACACATTTTGAATTTCCCACGTGTCGGAGCTCCAATCTTCCACATTGGGCTCCCCGGTCGGGAGCTC